GATCTTGACGTTCAACTGAGCTACGAAAGAGGCACGCCCGAACGACAGGCAATTGCCCTTGCTTACGCTAGCTCGCAGAAGAATATGTTGATTGCTGGAACGGCTATCATGGCCCTGTCACTTATCTGGATGTTCGTCCTGAGAGACATCAAGCTTACGAAGCAGCAATCCAAGGGTATTCTGTTCTAGATTATGCTTTGTGTTTGCCAACGTCAGCAACAAAGCGATATACTCCCCATAAAAACAAATGCATGTTTGATGAGCAATTTTTCGTACCGTGGATACGGACTATGGATTATTGAAAGATCCGGGTCTCTCGGAGGTTGAAGACGGGATTATTTGAAAATTTCTGAACTATTTGTATAGGAGATACCAATCTCTATGGCGGACGAGGCGGTTGTAATTCCCAGCAGAGTTGGAGGGAATGAAGATATCCAAGGAATACCGCCTGTTAGTCATAGACATAGTTTAATGTAATACTGCGCGACGCCACTCATGGCTTTGATTTTGTTCTTTCACATCACTCTAATTGCTCGCAAGATCGAACGGAAATCTCTAACAATTACTATTAGAGCCCTAACGCATGCAGTATTTAGGAGGCTGATAGACATTTGAAGTTTACCGTGGTTTTCTAGATAACAGCATAGCAATGCTTCTTGTCTCTCCATTTGTACCGTCTTCTTATTTCCCGACAGGGCTGCTGTTACACCCGTACCTGCATATTCGCTATGTACTACAAGAGCCGATTCCTCGCCAAGTTCCAATTTCCGATCGGCAGTCCTATAGAGTGCAGGATTGATTGCCGTCGATATCGGTAATTGTTGGAAGGAGTGCATAGGGCCCACCATGATGGATTACGAGGCCCAAGCTGGCGTATATACTCGGCGAGTATAGTTCTTAGTATACTGCTATAACTGCCTAGTTCACTGGCCTGCCTTAACTTGCGGCAACACTACTACGTTGTTATGAAAACCTTTCTATAATGAACATTGTGATGTGGGCTTGTAAATCAACCGGGTAAATCATTACTGCAAGCGGAATGCATTGCCAACTAGACAAGCAAACCAAGCACTCGTGGAACGGCGATGCCGAGATACTTAGTGTGGTGTCACGGCTCTTAGCGCTACAATCTAACTAACGGAAATTACAGTCTATCGCACCCAAGACTTCTTAGTGAGCCTTGGGGAAAGCTTCGGCTTTCGCAGAGTGTCATACAAAACACATTCAGGTATACGTGCCCAAGCTCAGGCTAGAAGGTGCATGAGGTCGACTAGCGTGCGATTGATACACATCTGACTTCCACCACGTATATTAATTCACTCGGCTCAGTTTTCCTCGTGCGGTATGGTGGCGGTCGGAAGCGATTGCTATTAACCCTATCAGATGATCAGATAACTTTCGCAGTTACATCGCTTGAGCTGTACGACACGGTACGGAAATGGACCCACCTGCCTGGTAATTTACGACGGGGCCATTCTCGTATTTAATCTTTCACGGGAACTCTTTTGCAAAAACACCACTGGACCGACAATACTAGTGCCTTTTACAACGACACATGGATGCGGATGTCTCATTTTCCTTGGTTGTATTGCGCCCTAAAGGAAATTATGTAACCTTCCTTGAGTTTTATTATATCCATAACGTTATGAATTGGCGTTGTGGGCTTGGCCCGCAGTTTCTTTCTTCTGGCCTCACCCGGATGATGACTCTACCGTTCTTTCATCTTATCAATCAGTTTCTAAAGAATGAAACCCCGACGGTTCCCCATCGAAGCATCCACTAGATGACGCAGTGGGCTTTCTTCACATGGAACGTTGGGGTCTGTGGCGGCCTGGCCGGCAGTTTTTCAATGTCTCTTCCGTTGCAGATATTTGGTAACCATCTCGGCAAAATAATGCTGGTGTGGACGACAGATCATGGACAAAGGGTCACAGATTCGAGTGGAATTGCCCGAGGTACACTGCAGTAGCTCTAGTGTCTGAACACCGGTTTCACATGGGGTAAAAAAAGGGTTACATATAACAGCATAGATATTTCGCTGCATACTCATTCCAGCGCCTATGGCTTTACCACTTTACCACTACTATTCCAGCGGCTTTAGATAGGGTCTTTAGTTGGTTGATTATTCTCTATGTGAACCAGTAAAAGCCATATCTTAACGATAGTATGAACAAATAGATAAAATTAAGATATATGCTACTATTAACTGTAGTGTTATTACTCTCCTATACAGTGGTAGATAATTCCATACCTTTCAGTTTTCCACCGCCAGAGACTGTCTTGATGACACCAGAAATACCATCAATCTGCCTTGTCGTTGTGTCTTTTGCTGTTAAGACATGAATCATACGAGGCATCTTTCAGGAGTGTTATACACAATGAAAGAAACTACACTCGAAGATTCTACCCACCAGATTATCTGGTAGTAGTTCGTGGCCTTTGCATAAGATAAGAATCGATCCCTGCTCGTTCTCTATCAAATTCAAATGACCCTTCTGTTTTCAAGAAATAGCGACTGTCGATGGAGGCTGCGCAGTTGGATATTGAACTAAAAGCCAGTTCGGTCATTAATTACCAGCATGAATACTCGCACGATAGCATCGAACTGTTTCGTTCTGAAATCACACAATACATCACACGGACCATAGGTGCTCATCTTCAAAAGCGGTCCGCAATTTGCCGGATGTTTCTTATTCACTAAGTTGTCACGATGCCCGTCGTCAATTTGGCGACAGTAAGAAAGCTCTGCGTCCCGTCTTGGACACCAAGAACTCACTATCCAAGTTGTTAGATGCACCGCATGCCAGTCTATGTTGGTTGTAATGAGTATCTTGACCGATGTTAGGGCGCCGCCTCTTATCCGTGGGATAGTGACGTTTAGTAGTATGTATTGTCCATCGCACAGATCATAGGCGCCAGTTCTCTAAAGAGCAGTGATTCGTCATGTTCATTGCACATTTGGAAGATTATCAGCGTAATATAGACATAGATGTAGTTCTCAAGTGGTTCAGGTTCAAGTTTGATCCCCGCAGACCAGAAATTCCGGTTGTTCGAATAAAAGGAGTAAGGGCAGATATTCTCATGCGACATTCGTCCATGCCGAGCTGCGAAAGTGAGACATAGGGCAAAGCATCAGTATGGTATAGCATGCCTGCCTCGCTTATTTTCGCCTCTCCTGCAGATGTCTCAAAGTATATCAGGCTGAGCTCTGAGTTATTGCATCCGTAAGATTTTCCTCTTTTTTTAATCAATTCACCGATGCTTCATGATTCAAGCAAGTGACAGATGATCAAAACTAAAGCCTTAAGAAGCAGGTTACTGGGTACGAAGTGTATCATATGATGATAAGATTGAGGTCGTCATTCTGCTAGCACCAACTTTATTGCTCCTAGAGTTTATACTAGCAGCACGTTAACATATCACCTTGACCCATCCAAAGAAAGAAAGAAAGGGGGAAACGCGGCTCTACCAGCACCTTAACCGCTCCCAGTATAGTATCCTACAGGGCATCATTGAGGAATTGTGCCCTTCAAGAAGGAGAGTTCGACGAGTTCTAGAATTCGGGTAGAATAAAAACCAAGACATAACTAGCCGAGACAAATGTCCTGAAAGCTGTCAGTTTGACGCGGGCTTACATCACATCTGGCCCATATTCTGTCAATCATTGCAGTGACTATCCGAGACATGTACAGATCAAAACCTAATTGAATAATTCAGCCCCGTGTTCAAGACTGGTGTGAGATATTTTCTGGGGAGATGTTTCATGACACACTTAAGCGAGATAGTATCCATCTACTAATACTGGGAGCGTCATTGCCGCTAGTGCATCTACAGACCCTGGGGTCTTTAGTACAGACTGGTGGTTGTACCGTAGTGCTGCACGTTCCCGTCGCAGGTATGGACTCCACCACGCATTTCTGACCCCCTTGATAGGTAAGCCTTGCTTGTTAGGATATCACAGATGTTCTAGAATTATTTTTACAGGGGTTCTGATCGGTAACGTGCAGCCTTACTAGCTAATGATGTGTCTTGTCTTGGAGGATATCCCAGCCCTGCTGTCCCTAGTGCAGACATCAGTGTGTTGAAGTAAATTGTAAAAGTAATATACCTCTGTATTCAGCAACCTTATCTTAAATATCTTATGGAAGCTAGATGTAGAAGATTCCCTCTGAGAATACACAGAGCTTCATCTGGGGGGAGTGGGGTGAGTTACTAGGTGCCCCTTGGGAGTGGGTAGCATACGAAGTATGCAAGAAAGGATAGGCACAGATATGTAAAATTAATGTGTAGCTGTAGTGGAACTACATAAAACTAGCTTTCTGACCTGTCTCGTTTATTCTTAGGGTCGTCTTTAGAAGCCGTGGAACATTTCGTGCCACACCTTCCATTTGACTAATGTCAAGCCCGTCAGGTCGATGTTGCAATGGATATCAGGATAGAGTCTGAGTTCTTTAATCAGTACTAATGACAAGGAGCTGTCCATGCGGATTTGGTCAGCTGTTTCAAGTAGACAAATTTGTAAGTTGGTTTCACCCTCTTTAAACACTTCACATGTGCGTCTTATAGAACAGTGAAGTCCACCACGTCGCCTATCATATTATTCTTCTTCAGTTCTGTTTCGATGCCTCGTGTTTCATGTTCCATAGTTTTTTGTCATTTTGACTACTATTTCCAAGGAGAAATTGATGGCAGTTGAAACGCTGATGCCTCTTTCTCAGGACGCTCAACGGGCTACCTCATAACTCGGTTTACATTATGTCCCACCACGTAAAACATCTATTTATTGCTTGCCTCCCCCGTCCAGATGAGAAATCGTTGACACCTCCATGAACCGAGAAACTCATACTGATTATCTACTCTAACGCTTGATCGGTTGAACTGCAAGGCCAACCGCGATGTTAACTCCCTCACAAACACATCCAGCATCACCAACCCCGGAGCCATCATACCCCGCATTAGTCTATGAAGTGACCTCAGATGGGTGGAGAATACTCGGAGTTATGCCTGAGCCTCAGATTGATACACTTTCACCAGAGTGGAAGGAGGACGACGATGCTACTAGTGACTGTCCCCCAGGCTGTACTCTTGTTGACATGCCGCTTTGTCCATGGTATGCACTGAGATCCAGTTCCACAGATCTACTAAAAATTAGATGACCTGATCTGCTCGCTCAGTGACTGTATAATCATCGAGGAGCCTAGGGAAAAGACCCAATCTGGGGCCCCCTCTGGAGCAAATATAGCGACAGCGACGATCACTGACCCGTTCCCTGTACCGGTGGAGACCACTTCACTAGTAATTTCACCACGGCTATCCACCTTCGACTATTCCAAAGGGTACAGAGCGGCTCGTGATGCCACTTATGTTATCTTGTTTTCGTTAAAGGTTGTCCTCTTGAGTCTGGCGGCTCGGTCATACACGCGACGGGGCAAGGAGGTCTCCTGGGAGAACGCGAATATGTCACTTCCTGTGTCGGACTTGCCTAATAATTCGCCATCAGAACTAGAGGCTAATGAAAAGACCTGGCATGCTTGAGGCTGGCTAATCACCAACCGGCCCGAATGCTCTGGCAGTCCATAGGCTCATCGATTGGTTTACCCACCCCCTTGGAGCAATGATAGAGTTTGCGTGATTTTGGGTCGGTTGAATGAACGATTTGGAAAACCTCTGCAATGTTCCACACTTTCGGGTTTTATTCTGTCTAGAACGCTTGTTATTGTTTGCTGTTTCTTGTCGCCTTTTTGGTTTCATATTAGTATTTCTTAAAACTGCTTCCATCGTTCAAGACTTTTAAGTTCACGATACATTTGGCCTGAGTCTCGTAGAACCGTATAAGAAGTAGAGTTCTAGTAGTGATAGAGTAATGCTGACTAGAGGCTTGGGACATGTATGATTTTTACTCACGATGTACCTTATCATCGGGACGTTTATAGCATAGGCAGTCCGTAGTAGAGATATGGATATATTTGTATAATTGTTGTAGCATGTGTAGACTGTAGGCATGTTTGGTTTGCAATATATAGAATGTACTTGAGCAATTGCACGGTATACTCTTAATAACCTGGATCGACACTTATACAGATCTGCATATAGTAAACTGCCCTCGTGTCCCCTGGGCTTTTCAATTGTCCATATATTCTGGTACGAGGTAACTTGATATTTGTCAGTATGTGGTGTATCAATGACAGCTTAGAAATCTTATCTTTGACTTTGGCATTGATTAAGATGCTGGGATGGTTATTAGGCGTGTTCGAAAAGCATGTTTCAGTTAGACTAGAAACCGAAATTCCATGAACGCAACGTCAAATGCGTTGACTTATTATATATTTACAAATTGGCTTTTGAGGCCGTGGTGGAATAAATTGTCACAACCGCTTCATGTTCTGATTTTATGATTTTATCAGCTTTCCACCATTCCAGACATGCGTGATATTCTTTGAGTTAGACAGAACTGCAACATTCTCCAATGGGTTCTCTCTCACTGCAATGATGTCTGCGTCAAACCCTTCCTTTAACTGACCGCTCCGTGGCGCTTGATAACCTAGAGTAAGGGGCCCATTCGCCGTGGCAGCTTCAATGGCCGCCAGAGGGGTTAAGCCGGCGTCTACCGCATACCTCACTTCGTGGCCATTGCGACCATAGCCTATGATCGGATTATCTGAGCTGATAAACTGATCAGTGCCAAGGGCTATCGTGACACCTCTTGAAACAGCAAGTTGGTACGCTTTTTTGTGTGCATCAGCGACTTCGAGGAGCTTCTGATAGGACGATGGGGTGAAAAGATCTTTCATTGCTAGACCGCTCTCAATGACACTGCGGGTGGCTACTAAAATTGCACCTTTCTCCTTCATCAGCTCAACAGCCTCTTCATCAAGGAAGCTGCCATGCTCGATTGTGCGACAGCCAGCGTGCAATGCATTCATAATGCCCGCTTTACCATGGCAGTGAGCAGCAACGACCAGGCGTGCCCGCGCCGCTTCGTCAACGATTGCTTTCAGCTCCTCGAAGGAGAACTCCTGGTGCTGCGGGTCGTCGATAGCGCTCACGACGCCTCCACTAGCACAGACCTTTATGACTTTTGCACCTCGGCGCAACTGCTTTCGCACAGCGAGCAGGCATTCGGGCACACCGTCAGCAATTGTCAACGGTAGGCCGTGGGCGCACAGGTCAAGCAGCGAGTCCCTATGGACGCAGTGGACATCACCGTGTCCTGCAGTCATGCTTATAGCAGAATGACTTGAGTAAATGTTCGGCCCATGGATTCGTCCCTCTGCTACGACCTTTGCAAGCTCGCACCCGTAGCCCCCAACCTCACGCACTGAGGTGAATCCGGCCATAACGGTGGCGTGCAGGTCCGGCACGCTCCGAGCACCTGCCAGAGCCTGTGACGTGTCGACGATTGCATTCATCGTTGCTGCTGTGGCGCCCAGGAAGTGAATGTGGCAGTCCCACATCCCTGGCATTACGACAGGAACATGGGTGGCTTTGGCCCCTTGAAACTCTGCAGGGACCCCTGATTGGGGTCCAGCGTAGCGAATGGTTTTGGATTGCCATATCACGGCGCCGTGGGGGATTGGATCCCCTTTTCCTGGTATGAGCAGGTCAGCATCGACTTGATGAAATCTGTCGTCTGTGAGCATCCGGTGCATGCTTCTCTCGTGGTAAAGGAACTCAGGAGCCAGCAAAATGATCGGATGGTGGTCTGAGTATCTCCTGCTCGGTTGTTTATGTGGACGGAGCCGAAGGATTCATTAAATAACTACCATGCTGACCCACATTTTCATGGCTATGGCCTGTAGGGAAAAGAGCATTAATCATTTTCATTTTTTATGATATGGTTCGATTCAAGGTGGGACTGGAGTGTTCTTGCGTGCAGCCAAAGACATGCATCAAATACTTCATCCGACGCTATCACCTTTTCGGTCAGGTCGAAGCGAGCCCTTTCATTACCTGATCTGGTTTAGCGACGCGGGCTGGAGGTTCGAAGGATGGCTTAAGACGTGACAGTATTACGCTTACATGCAACTAAGAGCCACTAACGGGGTGGTGATGCATCTAGAGAAACAAGATCCCTCCAATGTAGGCCTAGCTGGAGGTTAATCTATACGGTGTTAGTCGGTGCAGCCAGACTGCAAGAGAGGTCGTTCCGTCTGGGTGGCGGGGCCTTTAAGAAACGCATAGCTCCCGATAAGATTCATTTCTGTCCTTCCTCCGCTTCCCTGGTTGAGGGAAGGTATTGTAGCAAGTCTTTTAATTGTTCAGCTGGACTGATAATATAGCTATGTCGGACTACAGCAGTTCTCCCGGGTCGGAGCCTAAGAGCCCTAATGAGATAATTGATGAACATCAACCGCTCACGGCGATGGAAGAAAAGGCGATCCTACGTCGCATTGACCTCTGGTATGTACATAGCACTTTACAACTGTGAACCTAAAGTGCCCAAAGACTAGTGAACATGGACTAACATCATTCAGTCTACTTCCTCTGATGTTTGTCTCGTACCTGCTACAGTATCTGGACAAGACCGCGATGTCGTATACCTCCATCCTTGGGCTGTTGCCTGGAACGGTATGCTGGCGTTACACCTTCCTTGGCATTCTACAAGCATCAGAGTCTGACTGTAGTGATTATTATAGCACATGAACACCGACCAGTACTCATGGGCCTCTAGTGCGTTTTACTTCGGCTACATGGTGGCATCCTATCCTGTATCCATAGGATTTGTCAAGTTTCCCATTGGGAAATATCTCTCAGTCATGATGTGAGCCCAGTACAATGCCATCTCATCAGACAGCAGCGCCTAACTCCTCCAGGATCATCTGGGCAATCATCCTGACATGCCATGCGGCGGCCTCCAGCTTCGCAGGTATAACAACACTGCGTGTATTACTTGGCGTTTTTGAAAGTGCCATCAGCCCGGGTTTCACCATCGTGGTAGGCATGTGGTACACACCCTCCGAGCATGCGCTTAGAAGCTGCATCTGGTTCTCTGGCAACGGCGTTGCGTCTATCTTTGGAGGAGTTCTCTCGTACGCAATCGGCCATGTTCACAACCGCCTGGGTCCATGGCAGGTATATACAACAAACTCTCAACAGCACCCTACCAAAAGAAGCCATCAGACTAACCAGTGTACCAGTGGGTATTCATAATCTTTGGCATCATCACCCTCATTTGGTCAATCTTCCAATTCTTCGTCCTACCCGACTCACCATTAAATGCCAAATTCCTCTCCCCCTCGCAACGCGGCCCAGCCTACCGTCGCGCCCAAGCCTGCCAACAAACCTACCAAAGCCGTGAATGGAAGAAAGACCAATTCATCGAAGCCCTCATCGACCCCAAAACCTGGTTCCTCTTCACCTACAACTTCCTAGTTTCCCTCCCCAACGGTGGAATCACCAACGTAAGTACCCACTTAGGCCACCCCATTGAAACCATTACTAAAAAAGATGTACATCAGTTCTCAAGTCTAGTAATCGCCTCCTTCGGCTTCGACACCTTCAACACCCTTCTCTACACTATCCCCATGGCAGCAGTAGCCCTGGTCTTCCTCCTCCTCAGCGCCCTCACCTGCAACCGCTTCCGCGGTCTCCGCTGCTACTGGATGATCATTACTCTGCTGATCAGCCTAATCGGCATCCTTCTCATGCGCCAGCTCCCGGTCGAGAAGAAATGGGGCCGTCTGGTAGGCGTCTGGCTGGTCACTGTCTTTGGTGCCGGATTCCCCCTCAGCCTTAGTCTAGTCTCGAGTAACTTCGCAGGCTTCACGAAGAAGACTACCGTCACTGCGATCTTGTTTATTGGGTATTGTGTGGGGAATATTGCGGGGCCGCAGCTTTTTAAGAAGAATCAGGCGCCACATTATTATGTGAGTTTTCTTTCTTTCTCTCTTTCTCTCTTTCTTTCTTTCTCTCTTTCTCTCTTTCTCTCTTTCTCTCTTTCTCTCTTTCTCTCTTTCTCTCTTTCTCTCTCTCTCTCTTCCTTCCTCCTTTGGTTAGGGTAGCGGGTGTATGCTGACAGATAGAATTAGTCTGCCTTCGCCGCCATTTTGGCTTGTTTTTGTATTGCTATTCTTGATGTCGCTTTGCTACGTATTTACATGATTTGGGAGAATAGAAGGAGGGATCGGAAGCAGGGCCGTGTTATTGAGCCCGAGACTCCGGATGCGGAGGGCTCAGAAGACTCGACTGCTAGGAGGGAAGTGGGTGATGTGTCGGATTGGCAGAACCAGAATTTTCGATTTTGTTTGTAGGGTATCATCTTCTCTTTCGTGACCCTACTTGATTTTGTGTATATAAATAATGGTAAGATGTGGTAGATGATTCGGATAAACGTAATTCATCAAGGGTATATATAGCTAGCGTAATGGATGAAACAATATACTACGATTAAGCAAAGCTCGTCTGCCAGCCAAGAGATTCCATCACAGATTCCCACTCGAATCGACCGACTCGTAAGCTGTTGCCCGACTCCACCTGTGTGCCCCTGCGCTTCCAGAGTAGTTCGACTAATGTCTGAGCTCGCGGAATATTCTCATATGGAGCCTTGTCTCTGGCGGTACAAAAAATTTCTCGCGCTCTAGTCTCTTCATCCCGTGAACAGCAACAGGAGGCAATGAATAGGGGCCATAGAGGCCAGGAGATGGGGAGATGATCCACCGATGATACCACGTAATTCGCCAGGTGAAAGATTCGGTCTACATATTGTGCCCTCTGAGCCGTATCCCTCAGTTGTTCAATACTCTGCGTGGTAGCTGGGGTATACCCGAGGAAGTGAGGACTAGCTGCCTCCGATAGGAGGAGATAGGCTGCCAAACGATATGCCTCGCTTGTGCTTTTCAATAAGCGAAAGCCATGTTTGGACTCGGCCGAGCTGCGATTTTTGTATAAGGAAACGGGGATTATCTGTGTTGTTGCAGCTAGACTTGCTTCCAAGGTTGTGATCTTATCCGAGATTTCTGCATGTTTCTGCTGTGCTGCTAGCTGGGCAGTGCATGGATCCGAGGATTGGTGACAGAATGCTTGGGCATCTTGCTTAAGACTCAAAATTTCGTTTATGAGCAGCAGCATGTGGCTACTGAGGCCGTTCCACATGTCAATTTCATGAAAAGTGTCCGCTGGCATCACCTTGACGAGATCCTTGGTGGAAGTCCATGATACCCTTTCGGTGTTCGTCGAGTGGACTAAGGAGTTGGGTTTAGTAGGGCTAGTTGGTATTTCACCGACAGGCAGTATGTCTTCAATCGAGAACACCGATTTGGCTAGGACAAGATGCGCGGAGAAGTAGCTAATGAAGAATTGTGGTACTGAAGGAGCGTTTCTGCGGCCATGGGCCATCTCCTTCACGATCAACTGGAAACAGGCGAGATGCTTTACCCAGGAGCCGTCACAACTATTAGAGATCTAACTGAAGGATTAGTCGCAATCATCTTACCGAATCATGAATGCTATGGCAGTCAGGGTGTCCTAATATAGTGTGGAGACTTCACATACCGCAGAAGAGCACAGAAAGATCGTCGGCACCAACAAATCCTCCCAATCCAAATCCTCTTTCATCAAGGCTCGCCGCAAGCCTCTAAGGACCCTCGAGCGGATTTGGATTTCCATTAATTCGAACCTACTTTCAACTGATCGCAGATAATGTGCACTGGCCATAAGAACGGCATAATAAGCTGTCTCGGTCCGAAACACGAGACGCATCACCGTGCTGCGAAGGGGGTTGAAGCGCTCATCATCGACGGTCACCCCGACGGCGCACATTACGGAATTGTAAAACGACAAACACACATCGTCCACGTCTGGCACGCCGATACTCCATGGTAGCAGGGGCACTGGACGCGAAATAGTCGTGGTGCTCTTCCAGTTCTCGTAGTGAGTGTAATAGGCGACTCGGCTGCTCGGCGTGGCCGGTAGTGGGTTATTGGCATTGGGTGGAGAGCGGATCGCCACGGAACCAACATCGCGTTGCCGATGGGTCATGTCCTTGCGTCTGGCCCGTGTCAATAGTTGGAATTCTCCGTCGTTTGCCGGTGGGCGCTGCAAGGAATGTCTCCTCGATTGAACGCCCGTTCGTCCATGGCACTTCCCAGCCGTCCGCATCTCGTCCTCCCATTGCAGCTGGAGTTCGTAGCTACAACGGTTCTTTGATTTCTGACAGCGTATGCAGATAGGATGACTCTCTATATCGATAGTTGATAAGCCTCTGGCCTTTTTTCCCATATTGGATGGGTAAGAGAGCTCTAGACTGAACTTGGAATTTCGGAGAGCGAGCCGGACCAAAAATGGCAGAACGGGCTTGCACGTACCGTCGCATTTCACCCGCCTCCTTCGGCAGGTATTGCAGCCGTTCCGGGTTCGGACTCTAGGTCTGAGCTCTTTGACCGACGATGTACTCGACGAGTCAGATCGTGGGGAGACCGGATCTGGCTTCATGGACCAAGTCATGAACATGTTGTGTTATTGTTGTTGCTTCAATGCAAGAAATCACGGGTCGTCTCTGTGCAGTCCCCCAGGAACCGTGGAAGTGGAGGGTCGACCCAAATAACGAGAAGGAAGGAGCGGCACGAAGGTAAAACAAAGGATTTGAATTTAGGCTCTTGGCTTACGACGTGAGATGAGAATACGTACGGGGGGATCGAGGCAAGTGGGGAGACAAAATGAGCTGATATGGAACTTCACCACTCGTATTGTATGCCGAGAAGGATCAACCATCTGTAGTTATGGTTATTGGATAGTCGCTCATTCAGGTGTAGGCCCACCTGGGCCGCCATTGCGGACACTAGAGCAATAGTCGGAGCCTGTCGACGAGCTTGTCTCAGCCGTCACGCTTAAGTCCATGTTTTAAATCAGCGAGTGTAACATTGGGTTGTCATGTCTCGCAAGACCTAGTATTTCAGTTTCAATCCACGCCAGGCCTTGTCGCTCTCGTGGGATTCAATTAGTCCAGGCGTGCAGACCCGCCTTGGAGGTGGATTAAATAAGTTATGCAGGAGATTAGGAATCAACCGGACTGCTTTTTATGAATTTTCTTGCCTGATCTGAAGGATTCGGCCCCTGGAACAATACGATGAGAGCTAGCCACCATGCAAATTGATATTAACAGCACCCGAAACGGAAACATCCGTTAAAGTCCCCATGGAACCCCTTTGCCTTGTCTTTGTGGTCAAGTGCCAATTGTCAGTGTCGGTTTAAGCAATACTGATGCTGTCGTCTCCGAAACGGAAGGGTGATATCCTACCGGACCTGTGTGCGTGTCAGGAACATACCCAAACATGACGACCTGGGACGGAACCCCGTCCAGAGAGACGTTGGTGATTGTGGGATACATAGTTCCCACGGTCCTTTTGGTCGCGAGCACCGTGCTGCGACTGTTTGCTAAAATATCGAAAGAGGGCCTTCATTTAGATGACCACCTAATCATCCTGGCAAGTGTCTGTCTCCCCACACACAAACTGGGTCCATGCGTATAATGAAGATCGCTGATCCTATATCAGGCCCTAGAAGTAGCATACTCGGTAACGATGCTGGTGTGCGGTACGTCGAATGGGTTCAGTGTCCCTACATTATTATTTTTAGTCCCTGCTGATCCCAACAGGTGTGGGCCATGGATTCGGTCATCACACCGCAACCGTCGACCTCAAGGACCTGGAAATATTCTTAAAGGTTAGAGCGCCTGATGATCCTCCACGCCTCGACCTCGCTGACGGGAGACACAGGGAGAGTACATTGCCAGTCACCTTTACAACCTCTTCCTTGCGGCAACAAAGCTCGGGATCCTCGTCCTATACTACCGTATCTTCCCCATCCCCTGGTTCAGCAAGACCGTGATCGGGTGTTCAATATTTGTTCTGATATGGATAACCATCATCGAAGCATTTATGGGCGCACTATGCCGCCCGCTGAACGCATTCTGGGATCGCACCGTCAAGGGCGAATGCTTCAACTCCACAGCCCTGACATACTTCGTCAACTCCTCCAACATGGTCACTGATCTTGTGCTTTTCGCTCTTCCCATCCCGGTCATCGTAGGAGTCCGCACAACGCGAAAGAAGAAGATCGCTCTTGTCGCAATCTTTTCCATTGGATTCATGTACAACAACCTCCCAGAATCTTGATGCCCAGACTCTCGGCCCACCAGAACTAACAAAGAGTCAACAGAACCTGCGGCATAAGCGCCGCCCGCCTAGCCTACGTCGTTGCGCAAGGCTCGGCAGACATTACCTGTGAGTCCCATCTCCCCCAAACCCAAATATATCCCAAAGACTGACCTAAAAATAGGGGAAGGTGTGCCACTAGGAGTTCTATCCGCCTTCGAATCACTTGGTGGCGTCCTCTGCGCCAACCTCCCGATAATCTACCGATTATTCAAAACCGCCGCACAGAAAATCACGAGCAGTGTCTCGGGTCAGAAAAGCAAGACCTCGAATCTGCAATACGGGTACGATTCCAGGGCATACGGGTCTAAATCCCACGGACGCCAGCATCGACGCAGCACAGACAGTGAGAGGTGGATTCGGATGCCGAATGAGAGTGACTCTACCGAGGTGCAGACGAATGTGCATTGTACAAGCCCTGATGTAAAGGCTGACGGGTTTGAGATGGGACCTCTCCCTAGAGATGGGATTGCGGTGCAGAGGGAGTTTCATACGAGGGTTGAGGAGAGGGTTTAGTAGTTAGGGACTGGGGTGTATATACTCGAGCAACTTTTTGGTTTGGGCGGTTACATTCTTTTGTTTCGTGATATCTAGGTTCGGCGGATGGGTATCTGTAGTGGGAATTGGGACAAGGTAATTCGAATTGGTCTAATGGGACCTTATGACTGATTCTAACTTTCACCATGTACATACTTGCTAATGACCAACATTAATTGCGAAACACCCTCTTGGCAGCCTGAGGCAGTCAACAAGGTAAGGCATCAAATAATTGGGGGCGAAATAGCAATCACTAATACTAATATCACTGATTAGCACTGTGGCAGCATATCCACTCACCTGTCAGCCTAATCACTCATCTCAAATACAATACCCTCATCCAAAATGAACAACCCCAGAAAAGCACCCCGACTCTGCGGCAGCAAAGTAAAAACAGGCTGCATAACCTGCAAGTACATAACCCTAACCGCTGAACCATTCTATTTGCACCAGTAACACACCTCAGAAAACGACGCATAAAATGCGACGAAGCAAAGCCAGCCTGCCAGAAATGCACATCCACAGGCCGTTCATGTAGCTACAGAGTCATCCCAGAGAAGCAATCCTCTCCCAAGTTACGGATGGTAGTCTACCGCGCACCGGAACCTAGGTTGTCATTCCTCACATCCAACGAGGAAAGACAATCATTTGACTTCTTCCTCCATCAAACGAGGTATCGCTTTCCAGCGGACTTCTCGGATCCAGTGCTACGATCTGCGCATAGCTATGAAGCACTTGCGCGCACGGTTGTCGCGTGTGGGGCTCTGCAGCAGATCTACGAGTATGGCGATGATCCTCTTCTTTCGAGTCCGCTGGGTCAGTTCGCTATGCGGGAGTATGGACGGGCACTAAGGAATGTGGGGATTCGGCTTGCAAGTGATGGGAGGGATCTGAGTCTGGTTTGCTGTTTGCTTTTTGCTTGTTTTGAGTGTATGAGGGGCTGTCCGAGGGCGGCAGTTGTTCATATTAAATCCGGATTGAATATACTGCTGCGGTGTGGAGAGGAGCTGATGTGGAATGTCGTATCGCGAGAAACGATGGTATACCTGTTTATGAGATTGGATAGCCAGTTGGTCGGGTTGTTAGGTACGTCGCTGTCTCGGACGTTGAGGGGGGACGGTGAGCGAAGTTCGTCTATCTTGGAGAGATTTGTCCTCGGATATAACAGGGACGATTTGCAGCATTGCTTGGAGGGTGTGCTGAATTCTATCTTCCATGATCGGTTGGATATGGCGCTGACTATGGAGAATCGACCGTTGTCTACCCTTCCACTTGATCAGGGACGGGCATTGAGGTATTTGAAGGAGTGGCATTGTAAGTTTCTGGAGGCTATACCCTCGCCTGGGCTAAATGGTCAGTCTGAGAGGCCCTACATATACGGTCAGGATCCCGACCTTATACGCATTTGGTATATCATTGCGAAGATGTATGTTGCTGTCCCGCCAGATGTTCCAGAGGTTGTGTGGGATCAGTTTCAGGCGGAATTTGAGACGGTTGTTTCGCTTGCGGAGAATTACCTATTGCGCACAAGGTTGGTCATATTCGTTCGGGCTTAACAGGCCGACATGGTATACTGAACTTTGTATAGGCAATTCTCACAAAAGCGGACGTTTTCTTTTAATAATGGCATTGTATCCCCGTTGTATATTGTGGGCGTGCGCTGTCGAGATGTGACAATTCGTCGTAGGGCGATCTGCCTGCTAGAGAGCTGTGAGCGACGGGAGATATTATGGGATTCTACGCTGACTGCAATAACTGCTAGGCGGGTCATGGAGATTGAGGAGTCTCCGAAAATTGGGCCGGAGCCGCTTGGACGGAGAGTTCGATCTGTGACCGCTGTTTTGGACGATGATAATGGGGTCAGTGTAGAGTTTGATTGATTTTTCTATTTGTTTGTACCGTATAGAATTAGAACAATTTCGTATGTGTAGCTAGCTGAAGTGCGTGCCAGCCCCAGTAACACCCCTCCACTGGCTTCATCTAGGAGATAGGCCACTTGACCAGAAAGTCCTCCACAATGGCCGTGCCATTTAGTAGTGCCGCCTTTTGATTGTCTGTACATGTCGTAGGCATGTCCAGGGTGTAGCACACCGGGGCTGCTGGAGGGGGGAGCTTGTTCTTTCTGTCAAAACTAGAATGTGGGCCTTGGGTCCTGTAGGTCTCCCTGCGTTTCTCCGTTAAAGTAACGTTTCCTGTTGCAATATCCTTTGTGTTCATGATCCGCGAGAACACGCGGAACATAGTCTCAGGTTGGAAGGCAGGGGCTGTAAAGTCAGCATACGCTCAACGAACCAGTCGACTATCAAAACTTACCGGCATGCCCTGCATTAAATACCCTTGTAAATGAAAGATTCCCATGTTGTCGAACAACACCGCCCACGTACGTTTGATTCGTAATGAGATCAGTATACCCGCTGGAGCTGAATGCCGCAGACTGGTCGTGCTTGATGGATAAGCTGACGTTCTCGCCACCCATCCCTATTGTTACCGTAAGTTAGCATTCTAGTTGAACGGGCAAATCACCTACAATTGCAGAGATAGTCCCGATCGCCATAGATAAGATTAACTCTAACACCCCGTTCCATGATCGATGCAAAGTCGTCCATTGCTTTTCCACGGGTGATGAGCGCATTTCCGGTACTCCAGAATGCTATTATCATTAGCACCTATCACCAGGGAATAATTCCTATGTGGGTGAGATCGCACCATTATAAACAGCATTGGAATTCGCAGTGAAGTTCACCGAAACGCCCAAAGCGTCCTGCACCCATGCTCGATTAAAAAAGCCATCCGAGTAGGGCTGCGGCATAGTCGAAGTAGGAACCTCAGCCAGGTCATGAACATCGCGCTACAGCAGTTAAAAAACACATTCATGAGACCATATTCAAGAACTCACCCCGGACAAGGCATAAACTCCTAACACGTTTTCATAGCAGTATTCATCAGCAGCGGAACACACAGCATTGACTTCCGCATTATTGCCGAAGTTATGCGGGTCCAGCTTCTGCGCGAGTGCCTGACATTTCACAGCCATATCCATACAGCCGCCGGGCTTAGTCAAATTATGTTTAGCTTCTTCGTACTGTGTCTCAGTGATGGCCTGTATGCCGTAGGTATTGTTATATGCGTATTCGGGGTAAAAGGCACCTTGCGTGATGATGTCGCTGCAGCCGTTGTGGATGCTAAGTGTGTCGATGTTGATCAGAGAAGGAGATGAGGTGTTGGGTACTTGGTTGTTGCGGATTTTCTCATTCTGGTCTAGGATATATGCGGCGTAGGATGGTCCGTATCGTCCACCGAACTTGAATATATGTTAGTAGGCATTTGTAATAGAGAGGTAGACACGTACGGATTCTGTCCAAATGTGTATTTTCTTGTCCGGCGATTCATATTCGGGAAATCTGCCAATTAGTATCGGGCTTAAAAGAAAAGTGGGGACAATAATGAAGGTACTAACTCGTTAATCCAGACCTCCATAAAGTCCCACAGCGCCCTCGCACCATTCGTTGTCGAATTAACCGTTTCGTTGACATTCTGGGACCCGAACACCCCGACACCGAACGTATGGTTCGCCACCGGGAGTCCCTGATTTAGGTCCATTGGAGTGATAGTGCTTGTTGAATAGTCAATTGTGACATTCGTAAGCACATCATATGAGAATCCAGTTTGAACCGGCTGATCGATGAAGAGCATGTCGGACTCGCGTGTCCACGACCAGGGATTCGGCGATGTACTATTCGAATTCGAGTTCACGGAGCATGGTCCTATTTCAGTGACCATGGAGGACATGGAGCTTGCTCCAGGACCACCACCGAGGTAGATCGTCAGTGGAGCTGTCCCGTTTCTGGTGGACTTGGCGTAGTAGAAGAACAAGTTGCTTCGGTGGGGATGGGCATCGTCTGCACAAGGTGGAAGATGAACATAGCCGCTGTAGGTATCGAGGTCCGGAGTTGAGCAGATCGGTGTCTTATCTCGTTAAAAATACTAAAGAGACAAGCTGTGGATTGCGCCTACTTTCTTATATGATATGGATGCACCATCAACATGGGACGAAGAAAGAGTCCTAAGTCCTTGTGGCCGAGGTGGGAACAAAGAGTTCGCAAGGGTAACAGCGCCGCAAAAGAAAAAACTGAACACAATAGTTGCCATTGTTTGGGAGTACTATGTTAAGATGATATTTCCTTACGGATGAGGACTGGGTGAAAGGCCATTATTTATATGTCGGATGGGCTGCACCACCCCGGGATTTATCCTTGGTTTGATTTGTGGTTAGGCAGAAGTATATCTGACCCTTCAATTTCTTTTTTCAGAACGGTTGAAGGATGATTTTAACGACCTAACCAATGTAAAGCTAAAGAAATATGGACTACTAGGGTTAAGGCAATGCGTCTTCATGGCCGCTCGTACATGGTTAACCAAAGGCGGTTAGCATACACAATGGCCGCAGCCTAATACAGTTTAGATTTAGAATTTGCAAGACAAGTATTAAGAGAGCCTCCCAATCTACATGTTAGGATACTAATCTTTTCGCATGTTTGCATAGGCCCACCATCCATTGGCAGTGTAAATCATTCAAAATATTACTACAAAAACATGAAACCTTGAAACAGAAAAGAAGTATACCCTCGCTGTAATTTGGGGACACATCCACAAACAAGATGTCTCACATAGTATGTGATGGTTTACTTAGCGCAATGCTGGCGAAAAGCTCGAATGGTGCGCTTTCCTTGCGTTCGAAACTATAGAGTCTTGACTAGTGAATGATGAGTTCTTCGCCATCCGTCTGACCATAGAAGATCCGCTCGAGTTGTGGGCCAACAACGACAAAAATGATCACTGGGAAGTGAACCTCATTTGGAAATTGTAAATCGCACTGGGCGATCTCTTCTGGGGCATTGAATGTAGATTCCTGACATTCGTGGGGCTGGCAGGCCCTATCATACATAGCGGTTATTATAGGTGCCAATTCGCTGAAGTGCATTTGCCCTTCATGTCCATCGTAAGACTGGCATACGCCCAGTATGACGTGTGGTTAGACACAATAATTGGTCCATTCCAGCTCCAGCTTCAGGCTAGCCACCCATTCATCACGTACAGTCGGGTAAGCACCTTGTAGCGCACCACCAAGCAGGAAAGGGTTCGACATGCTATGTAAGACAGTGACTTAGTCTTGCCACTAATAACTGAGTGTGCGCAACCCCACTGAGCCTATCATGCTCAACCGACGCTTGTGGGTCAGCGAAAGCTCTCTCGGGAACCCTCTTAATAGGTCACTGTCTCAGAAATTGCAATAAGACAAACCCTGCGCGAATGCCACATCTGGCGACGGTTGGGAACTAAAAGGACGACAGCATGTAGATATGACATTAAAGAGCTGTTAATTATAGTCCCGCCATGCTTGATCAGTGGATTCTGTGCATTTTTGTAATCCTGCAGTATGTCCCATTGCCGGATTTAAGTCGTGCGGAACCTTGTAAGGTTATTTCATTGGTCTGCCAACAAGAGCAATGTAGTTTTGGAAGTCTTGGTTACTCGTTAAAAGAGCCCGAGTCGTTGTAAGATTCAGGCATACTTGAGCAATATTGAATTGAGTGTGGGACTTAACGCGAGGCCAAATTGTGCGGAAGAAAAGGAACTCCCGAGTAATTTCGGAGCCAGAATTTACGTTCTGGCAGCTGAGTAGAGTCTTATCTATCGCCCAGCGTAGGTTGCTGCAGTTTTCCAAGAATTGGGTTACTGAAGGACCTTATTAAAAACTTTGGTGGGATTGTTGGTTATGTCGAGGAGTTGCAGTCGATTAAAGCTTCTTTTGTCCTAATAATATCATCAAGATTAGCTCTGAACCTGGCTGTGAATATGTAGACCAGGGAGGATACCGGCATGGGCCATAAATTCATTTGTTGTAAAGAAACTCATGAATAAAACAAGGGGTGGATATACTCAAGTACGGCCCTGGATATGCAATAGCAGTACTATTCCCTGGCTTCATTCAATCGTACGGGTTACCATTCCTATGGTTAGAGAGCATTGCGCGCTTATTATAAGGTCTATGTTTTGCAAAATGTCAAGCAGGAAGTAGCTCTTGAGTGTATAGTACAAGAGCATCACAACTTACTATAGGCAGAACACAATATAATCCCTTGAAATATTCTATTTGTAAAATCGATAGGTACTATTACTGTAGTTTAAAGTAGGAAACTGTACAAGTCGTTCTCAGATTTAAAGTAAAAGATATAAGGCCTTGCTAGACATTGCAACACTGACAGTTATATAATTGACTTCTGACTTGAATAACATACGAAAGGTGCTATTTACAACGCTAAAGAAGCTTCTTAGTCACCGACTACTCACTTCATGCAGTTGTACATAGCTAACCGTAGGAAGCTTCACTATGCTAGCTGGATGAGATGACGAAGAATGAGGTGGTGAAGTACAGGAGCAAGGGCAAGGCTCCAAGGTACACCAGTTGAGGTCATCTTATTACCCCTATTACTTCACCAACACGTACTACCGATAGTAGACATATGACTAGGATCGTAACCTATCTTCTGTTATACTCTCCCCTTAACTCCCCAATTCTCCCACACTCCCCTCCCATTGCCACCACCACCATCACCACCATCACCACCATTGTCCTGTCCTCCTGGCCCTATCACTAAGCTATCTTAAAGTTTCTGTTTTCTGTCTTTCCCTAATTACCATGCACCAACAATAGAGCGTCTCGCAGGGTGGAGCTCCTGTTCGAAAGCCTGGTCGTAAAGCAACCAGAAGCTCTCTTGAAGCGCAACGAAGTCAACAATACTGTTTCAAAGGACTTCAAAGTTCGACATGTTAGATTTGACCCTAAGAGTTAAACCTAGACTTCCCGGATTATAACCTCCAGCAAATGCAGACGGTCACGAAAGCGCTGGGTGGAATGTGCGTGTATGCTCACGGATTGTTCTTGTTGCACAAAAGGAAACAGACATGTGCCGTCGTTTGATATGCACGAGGTGGCACAGTTTGTTGCATGGCTTATGCGGTGCCCTGATGCCGATCTAAACATGATGGCCCTTGGAGGTAGCTTGAGTGACCAACTTCCAATTTAATACTACTCATACACTTAAAGATTTTCAACTAAGCATGGCCTCAGGAATTGAGAAAAATAGACACGCACCCAAGCAGGGAGGGGGAAATGGAGGTAAACGTGGGGGAAGAGAGGAGGGGGAGGCAGAGGTCCCAGTGGCATCAAGAAGGTAGTTTTGATGTAACCCATTGGATTTGCGTTGTTGAGTTCACGAATATAACAATTTAGCAACAGACGAGGAACAGATGGTACTATTGTGGAAGAAGAGGGCACAACTTCCGGGACTGCTGGCCAGCCACTTGGCCTTGGTATGCTATGAGCTCTCATACATGATATAACTGGCTAACGAGCCTACAGGCGCAGATGATTTTGGAGGTTAGCAGTAGTCCTCGGCATTGAATCTATTGTGACTAATTGGAATATCGAAAATAGAGATGGGGCCATGCTGTAGGTAACCGTGGCAATTGGGGTGTCTTAACCCTAGCCATAGCCATAGGACCAGCAGCCCGAGCCCGAGGAGGAAGTGCTGGAAGATGACCTGGAGATGAACGAGGGTGAGCATTTGCTCACAGTGAGTTGGCGGTCACCAAGACCTCGCTGACATCTGACTGACTAAGGATTTGCGGGGCTTTTTCCTTTTTTTTCTTTCTTTTGAGTACTCTAGCAAGTGGTAGGGAGGGTAGGTCTTTCTAGCAGCTCAATGCATTTTATTGCTTTATTTTACAAAGTTAACCATTCATCATGATCTGTTCATAATAAATCACCCACAAATGCCAAACTATCCCTCCTCTCATCACACAGCCTGGCATACTCTAAGAGCAACCGATAGACATAAAGCTGCATATCCTCCTGTCTGAGAACCTTCTCGGCCCAGCTCTTCCCATTCAAGGCGATCTTCTCCGCCTGCCCATCATGGCCATTCCGTCCCTTATACCCAATAAAATACTGAATAATGCCATAGATATCCATATACAATGAATCCATGGGCACGAAATGTGCCCACGGAATAAGCCTCGAATCATGCCACTCCTTATATACGGTCGCCTTGATGGGCAAAGAAGTTGACAACAAGAACGCGCGATAACGCCCACTAAACGAGTTCCCATCGATGTCAGGTAGATACTTGAACTGGTACATTTTCTTCATGGGCATGCCTTCCACGATCTTGTAATGCGGGTCGGTGTATGAGCAGTGCTTGCCGTCTTCACGGGGAAAGCAGCATAAGTCCAGGAAGCCGAGGTCGCAGTGTTCGTTCAGATACTCGGGCAACGTGCTGTCTAATCCAGCCCAGATGTTGTAGTACTGGTAGTCCGGTTGACGGAAGTTGATACCGGCTGATTTGGAGCCGTTTGTCAAGGACACTTCTGTCCCGTTGAGCATGGAGACGAGTCGGTGGCGCTGGTAGCCTGTCCAGGTATCGACGCGATTACGTCCGCCACTGGCGATTCCGCGCCAGTATACGATGTCCTTTTTATCAGACCAGGAGCCGCCTTGGTTCTTCCACCCGCCTGAGTACCGTGGGTCGTCGTCCCAGTATACGGCTGGTGGGATAAGGATCTCGTTGTTGACTGTTAGCTTCGAGCCGCCAAATAGAGGGACGAGTTCGTGCGTGGTAGATGTGGATGTCGGCTCGATGAAACTGCCGTGGAGGGCTTGTAGCTCTGCGCGCCAGCATGGGTCCTTGGATCGCTCGAAATCCTCGATATACCCGGTCTTTGAGAAGTTGCGGTAATTGAAGAACTCGGGCGGCGGGTTCGCGAAATCCATGTGAGGGATGTTGCTGTTTCGTCCCGGGCTTTCGGGGGGACATGCGTCGCGCATGATCTCCCAGAAAGGTTTGTCGGGGCCATCGAAAGGGGGTTTGAACGGTTCGTTCGGATGCGCCTCGTCATAAGCGGGCAGTGCCATGTACTGGTCGACGGCGGTGGCGGGGTCGAGCAGTTTCTGGCTTGCACGGTCCTTCTCGCGGTATCCCGAGAGCTTTTCCCAGGGAATGATAATGCGGGGTTCGTCCATGCCGTTTAAAGGGATATCCATGTCCGGGAGAAAGTCGGCGATGGTTGAGACGAGATCCATCCAGACCTCCAGCCAGTTGACGCCTGTTCGGCCGGCGGAGTTGAGTGTGTGGTTGCGCACAATGATGCGCGGCTCCCATTCCGATGCCTGTTTCTGCATGACCTTGGGGTCCAGGGCCCAGTATGGACTAAGGTCATCGTAGAGCTGATCGAAGAGGTCTTCGATGAGAATCGCGTCTTTTTGCTGCGCGAGTTCCACCCATTTGTCGAACCCTGGGGGTGGGTGGCGACCGCGGCGCTCTCGATATTGTGCTGCTGCGTCGGTAAGGTTGTATACCTGCTTTGTGAGGAGGCGGTCCCATTCTTGCTCTGCGTTGCGGATTAAGCCGTCGATCGGGTGTGGAACAGCTCCCGGGTCGTCATGACCGTATCGCCCAGCTCCCGTTTCTTTCTCCTTGGCGCTGCTATTGTCCGCGCTGTTACCGCTTGGCCGGACAACTTGGGGGAGGGGGTTTGAGTGGAAATAGAGACGATATAATGTGGCGAGGAGGATGATTGCCGAGACAGCCAACAGGCCGTACCGCCGCACGGGAGATTGTAGCAGCGAAATCATGGCGGGGGAGGGCCGCCCCTGAAGAACAGACGCGACACTTGTCGGGAATTCAAAGCTGAAGAGACAGGAGGAGGCCAGACATAATCATGTAGCCTCAAACCTCCCGGGATTTAGCTGAGGGACGGTCATCGTGAATCTCTCAACACCCGTTGGGCTGAGGAGGGTCGGCGAAATATAAAAGCCCTGTGGCGATGGGGCCAATTATGGACGCAACATAGGAACGACCTGTTGGTCTTTTGATCCATATGATTTAGTCCCTTGGTTGGAACCGACGGTCGAACTAGTGTGATGGCCCATGCATTGGAATTACATAAATTGTCTTGCCTGGAGGGTATCAACTCAAAGACTTCCGTCATGGCGAGTCCTTCCTGAGGAGAGCATTGCCTTCACAACTACGGAGTAAACTATTCTTCAATCGACCGAGGCAGATATTCCCTTCAGCGTAATCCAGCACGAGGTGCTTTCCCAAGCACAGCGTGGTTAATTTTCAGGAGGAAAGGGGGATCCAGCGGTCACGGGTGAGAATCAAGATTAATACCCGGAATTATGCCATCCAATAAGGACAACGACAAACAGCGAGGCTGTGGGCCAACGTGGGCCGTTCTTCCGTATTAACCGAGACCCTACCACAACCTTGGCCTAGGGCAGGGCCCAATCTGGAGGGTCCTGACGGTTCATTTGAGACAAATCTGATTTTTTTTTTGAAGTTCAAATGTTTGTGGCGTTCCGACTAGCGAATCAGGTTTCCTCTAGCTTTAGGCTGATTCTAAATTTGTAGCGTAGTAAATGATTTTTCGCTACCCTCGTGGTCACAACGAGTACATCCATTCATGTATCCCTATCGGCCCGGACCGCCCGCACTGAAAAAGCCGAACTTACATTTTTGTAGAATGTGTCTGGAATATGGAATTAGTTCTGATCAACATGGCTCGGTAGAAGGAATATGCTCCATAAGATTGGTTTAACCCTGGGATAATAGTCGGACTCAAAATCGAATTTGATACATAAAAAAATAGTTGATCGCAGTTCGCAGCTCGCATTCCGTCTTCGATCTTCTGGCACCATCGTCCGCGTCACGTGCTTTCGTGGTACCTGCATTTAAATTGCTTTGTGGACCACTATCCAAGGAAATTATGAAACTGGAAGTGGAATAAAGTGTCCCAGGATCACTTGCTACGATACAGCCGCAGTGAGGTAACCCAGATACAAGGTGGAATGCCACGGTTAATTAAAGACGCTCCAAGTCCGAAAGAAGGCAAGCACAGGCCAAGTTTCGGAGATCGAAGGTGAACGAAGGAGTCTATTTTCTGTATGTCTAGAGTGGAGCGGTATTTCATACAAGGCTACATATAAGTAATACTCTAATTATCAGTCCTTCGAGGGCCGGTTGGTGTTGATATCTTTCAAAATCGCATCTGCGCCCGCTGTTATGAGCCTTGCAGCCAGCTCTTTCCCAAATGCAGTAGCTTCATCGTTGGTCCGCACTGTCGCATCAATGGTGTCTTGAACACTTTGGATGCCGTCGAGGCTGACCACGATAGCGCGCATTCTCAGAAGATATTGTGATTGATCGACCCACTCAGTCTCAACGCCAATTGGGACACTGCAACCACCTTCAAGGGTCCGCAGGAGGGCCCGCTCGGCAATACAGGCGAGAGTAGACTTTTCATCAACCAGCTTATTAAGCAACTCTTGAGTACTGCTGTCTCCCTTGCGGGTTTCCAAACCAAGTGCGCCCTGGCCGACAGCGTGCAAGATGCCACCATCTTTGGAACCCAGGTACTGATTGATGCGACCCTTGAGGCCAATGCGCTCCAGGCCAGCGGCAGACATGATCATACAGGTATACTCACTCTCTGGATCGTCGACCTTTGCCAAGCGGGTCTCAACGTTGCCACGCAGATTGGCAAAGCGCAGATGGGGGTAGAGACGGAGAAGCTGCGCCGAGCGCCGCACTGACGAAGTGCCCACGACTGCACCTTCAGGGAGCGTCTGTAAGCTGGTGTACGGCAGACCGGCCTTGATAATTAGCGCATCACGCGGATCATCGCGGAGAGTGATTGTCGCGAGCTCACACGACTCGGGGAGTGTGGTTGGCATATCTAGTCATCGGTTATATAACTGCTTATTGACATTAGGGGGAGCACGGTAGCGGATTCACCTTTCAGACAATGCACGATGACGTCCAATTGACCAGAGGTAAGCTTTTCCTCCAACTCGCTGGTCCACAGACTCTTTGCGCCGAAGCTGTAGAGGGCTGTAGACTTGTCTTTGTCACCAAGGGTGTGCAGTGTTTCAATCTCATAGGATCGATTCGGTGCAATCCTCTGCAAGCTATCACGAATACCCTCGGCCTGGACAATAGCCAAGTTTGACCGTCTGGTACCGATCCGCAAAGGCGGCTGGTCCGCAGGAGAGCTTTGCGCCATAACACCAGTATTCAAATTGAAGCACAGCAGAGAAGAAATATACCGAGACGGATTGTAGGAGCTGCATAACGTGCTTGGAGCGGTCTAGCGTCTTATATGAAGTTGATCGGGTTTAGCCCCCACCTTTTCCCGAGCCCCACCATTTCGGAATCAATTGCCTTCGACTTTCCAATATTCCCTATCTTATCGGAGCTTCCTCAGGCTACATAATGACTGTCGCTACGTATTGGGCCATGGATCCGACTAGTGAACCATCTTTGGTCTTCATGATGTCCTTGGTCTCTGAGGTAAAGTGATAGGTATATTAATAAAAAGGGGTCGCTGCAACACTGAATGGCTGAGGGTAAACAAGATGAAGTCGGTAATTTTGTCGCGTTGCAGTTGAGAGGCTTCACACAAAATATATACACATGGATATTCCAGGTAGTAGCAAAGTAACTCGGCATTATTCTCATGAACCACCTACGTACACGTTAAAAAAAAAAAAAAAAATCCATGTTATGTCATCGCTAAAAGAATACATCGCTAATGTCATTGGCACTTATTGAAATCAATACTCTCCAGCCGTGGGAAGCAACCCTGTAATTGACTGTGTAGTTTAGACTCGTCCGACGATAAACCCCCAATATCGTCTAACATGAGGCGTTTAAGCGTCTGTCGAGAATGACTGAGAATCTTGACAAGGTCAACCGCTCGTATCGAGGTGAAGCATAAGGCAATCCTCTCTAGTGAGCTAGGGAGAGACGGAGATTGCGAAAGGTGGGAGAAGAACTCGATTGCCAAATCTCGTGGCGCCAGGCTGAGGTATATTTTGCGAAGATTAGGGGCATGGAGAATCATATTCAAGATGAAAGAGTAATTGTATGGCGTAAGCTTGTGGTCCAGGTGGAGGTTCTCCAGTCGACCCCATCCGGTCTTGAAGGTGGGATTTGTAAAGAGATCCTTCGGTAATCGTTGAATATCCATGGTATTTGAGGTGTAATTCACCCCCGTACCATACCAGAATAGCTTCATGGGTAGCGACGTATCGGCAATTATTTCCAATAGGACACCAGCAGCGTCGTCGGGATTGAAATGCTCATTATTGCTAACGTCCTCTTCTTCGGGTACAAACTTCGTTCTGACAGGCGATATCACAAAAGATCGACAGTTCGTAAGCCTTTCAACGAGGTCATCTCGAAACCGTTGAATGACCGGTATTTGCAGCGGATTGTGTATGTGGCCTGCCGCACTTCGCTGCCACTGCAGGTCCCGGCCGAGATAAGGCTCCGGGGTCATCACGACCAGGCGATGAACCTGCTGTCGCATGACCTTGTTGTTGGCAATAGCATGAATATGATTAAAGCTGTCTTGCGAGAAGTCCAGGTGGATTTCTGTGTACCGTTGTGCCAAGCGATTTATCGTTCGGTGGTATGTATCGCGGCAAGTCCCAACCAGCGACGCCAAGTCTTTCGTATCTAGTTCATCGCAAACCAGTTCGAGCAATTCCAACGGAATCTGGTTAATGGTAGTAGACATACTGAATAGGAACGAAGGGATAATTGTGAGGGAGTAGTTTGAGAAGGGAGAGGAAGTTATCATTTGCGTCATGCTCTCTTATCGGCCGCAACCTCAAGGTCCCTGGAGTACCTTGGAGGCCTTTTCCGAGTTTGATCGCCATGAAAGTACCACCAATGTACTCACTCCAAGAATTGGTACTTCGAAAATCTGGTTCCTGCATTTTACAGGAATGGATCAACATCAGGTCTTTGCGGGTTTTATGTATTAATAATATTGTTGGATGTTTGATCTCCCGCTTGTAAACATGGGTCCCATGCACGGACAGTTTGGATTCGTATAAGAATAACTTCGCCAAGTTTCCACTTTAATAGCGACAAGACGTTAATGATATTATCACTCCTCGTTTACCTCTGTAACCGAAGGATCTCCATTTTGCTAGGTGCAACGCTGCTTAATGCTTGAAGAACATTCTATTTGCTGCCAGGACAAGAAGTGCAGTATTTATCGTTTCCTGATCTAGCTTTTTGAAGCATAACCTTTGATAGAGGTTCTGCAGATCATCCATAGTCTGTTGTATGGGTCCCGAAAGACATAGGGCTGCTACCAGTGCTCCACCGGCAGATGCGCCAGATGGGAAATGGCCTAGCTTATCATTTCTTAATGGTTACCATGGACCTAAGGTTAAACTCCTTACCACCTCGTAATGCCAATCGGATTTCCTGCTAATGGATCTCCAACCATGTCTCTAAGGCCGGACGTGGCTAGAAATGGCCCTGCGGCATTGTTAGAATGAAGCAATAAAATACACGTAAAATAGTGCTTATTTGGAGCATGTTGTACCCTGCAATTCAGGCTGGTATTAGCAACCTGAAAGGGGAAAAAGATCAAGCATTTGGTCGAATGTCATTTCAAGCTATAGGGCAGGGGTGCCAGCCAATAATGTCGCTTCTCCACGGAGATCACCGGCTGAGATGAGACGGGATGCCTGTTCTTTACACTCATACTGTTTCTCACCAACATTGTAAGAGAGACAAGGCAGACAGCCCCCAATTATCAGCCCGTCCAAAAAGTAACACAGTCACACTACAGCTCCGCATTCCTAGTCAAGTTGTGCATTAGCTTATTTGTCCATTCCTCTTGTACCTAGATTTTCTCACTTTATATATTAATTAATCTAGGGAAGGAGCTTAATAAATTCAAATAATTGTAAAAGAAATGAATGTTTACTCTATCTAGTCATACTCAACAATCGCGTCTCCTTCCAACGTTACATCCTAATATTTGCAGCTCCATTGGTTTATTTCTTATCATGCCTTTCTTTCCTTTACTTTTTTCGTATTCGTTTTCGCTTTCTATTTCAAGCATAATATATCTGTAGATAATATATCTGTAGATAATCAAACAAAAGGACCAATAAATACAATAACACTGCTCAACTACCTTTTTGAAACTCTTTGTCTCTGTCTACTCTTGGATATAAATTGATTTAACCGACATACACCGGTAGCCACTACCTCTTATCTCTCCACAACCTTAACTAGAAACTTCCATTGAAACAAGACATAGAAAAAGCTGATTTATACTATCCACTAATCTAGAAAGCGGCTCTATTCACGTCCTCTCCGTAGGTTCCCGAGAGAGGGCATGCACGGGCCCTTGGGTTGCTTGTTGCTCCTCGTTCGTGAGAAAAGCAACAGAGGAGTTCGGTCTTTGTTGGTCGGTCAGATTTTAGTACGTGCATGGGCGGATCGATGGGCATTGGAGAATATCCATTGAACGACGTTTTGGCCCCCAAATTTGGGGCACGGCTGTAGCCCTAAATCCTGGCACATAAGATGCCAAATTATCGGTGCCGAGATATGAGAACATGCGAATGAAAACATGGTCTATTTCTTTTACTGATTCTGGTCTTAGGGAAATAATTCAGATTCCTCAGAACGCCAACAAGCATCTGTATAGTCTCTCGTCTTGTATGATTTGTCAACACTTGCTGATAGCATATATCTCAAAAACTGAGTAATTGTCACCACCCCTCCGTTGGAGCTTTACTGTTCTTCTTTCTCGGCGGCCTCCCGCGCAATCTGCTCCTCATACTCTTTGATATTGTTTATCCCCTTGGGCATGTCATTGGGCATCAACCCCTGATCATCGATGAGCTTAACTCACATCCATGCGGCGCTTCCATGAAGGCCGCACCACCATGCGGTTATGCCAGCTGCACATCGGGGTATTTTGCTAATGGGTCCTCACCCGGGGGCGTCTGCAGTAGCATGTCAAGGCGACAGTTCCAGGACATAAATGACAAATCTGTAAAGGTGCATTTATCGCCAACGAGTCAGGTTTTGCCTTCGAGACAAGTGCTTAAAACGTCCAGGAAGCGGCGTACTTGGCCATTGTAGCGCTCTATGGTGGAGGGAATCCTTCCGTGGTACAGAACGTTGAACCTGGTCGATTTGGAATATGAACGAAGTGTTCAGCATATGTAAAAGAAGGAAAGATATGTGAACCAGGGTTGGTGCAGAGAGAAAATAGGGAGAATAGGGGCAGTCATACCATCCAGCCTGGCCATAGTAAGGCCCTTGTCCACTCATCTGGAAATGAAGGTACTGGTTCAGCAGTTGCCTTTCGTTAAGCGGCTCATAGGTCACCTTTTTCTCCGTGTCGTAGACCTCCTCCAGGTGCTGGATAATGACGCCGGACTCCCAAAGGGTTAGGTTAGTGTTGGGATAGATGATCGCTATTTGATCCGCTTAGCATCTCCATTTCAAGAGAGCCCAATGATTCCAGTCCGATTTAGGTTAAACGTGGTACATGCCTGGGACTCCACCATTAGGGCAGATATCAGTGCAGGGCCTGTTCTTGACATCATTAAACCTGAAGGATTCAATCACGTAGGGAACCTGGAGTTCCTCAAGAATCAGGACGACCTGGATTCCCACCAGATGAAGTCAGCAAAACCTCCTCGCCGATCTATATTCAGTATCCGCCGTGCTGTCGATCAGCGCTCGTACATTTTAAGGATTGGGGCCCGGAAGCTGGGAGAAATTAATCACTATTACTGCCCATGAAGCAGATAGCCAACTCGGCTTACGGGTCAGCCAGACAGTAATTGGCTTAGTATTGGGCTTGGTCATAATGCCTATAGGAGTGGAAGGACGAGGTTTCTTGGTGAGTGTATGATGGAGATAAAAAAAAAGGTTTGTGTTTCCTTAATATATTCTTAATTGATCTTGGATTTGGGGGCACATCTCGACCCCACTCCTCTGTTGAGTGGCCTGTTGGTGCCCTAGGCGGCTGCTACGCCTCGGGATGGCAACCCTTGGTTAGTGCTTATATACTCTAACCGATGAAGCCAATTAACGAAGCACAAAGGCATGGGGCGGTACATCACTGTCTGTTCTCAGTATATCCACCCTTGTATTAAGTCTTATACTCACCGCGTCGTTTTATCTCACGGGCCATTGCAGCTCTAAACAGCGCCTGCAGGTAGGCGTTCCAGTCAATGGTCAATCTGCTGTGCTGACACCTCAGTCAGATCATAAATAGCTGCATATACATCTCTCCATCTTCCATCAATTCGGCTCGCTTTGCCAACCACCACCCTCGTCACTGAAGGATTCATACGCATTACTTCAGTTGTTTCCAAATGCTTTTTATTGGTATTATATCCAGATTTGGAGATCCGCATGATAGACACAGGTGTAAGTGCTATAGATCAACCCATAGGTTAACCATCATCGACAAAAGCCGGATCTGAGGAACCCGCGTAGGCTTGCTCATCCATCAAGCGCATAAACCCAGGGTGTTAATACGGGAAGCAACCACAACCGCAGAGGTGATGGCGAGTCCGACACATTTAGCGACCTGCTCCATCGCTTTTGCATCCACCCACACGTCGATATCCTGCAGCAAAGTAAATTAGTTCCTCTCAGCAATCTAGAGATGCAGTAGAGAAGGGCTGGTTTCGCTTAGTATAATTGGTACGTGCAGAATGACCTGGAAACCGACGCTAATACCCGTCATGTCCCTCGGATGGTGTAGAAATGGTATTGGCGAGGACTGTATGCCTTGGAAGCCTGTTGAGGTCAGTAATGCATTCGCGAGCGAGCACCACAGAATTGGAATTTCCATGGGTAAGCTACAGCGTTATTCCTTGCACCGAAAGGATGCACGGCATAAGCCTAGCCGTGAGACATTATATACGATATATGCAGGGGAGTTTTCTACACCCTATCCACCTTGTAGGTACACACCAGAGTTTAGCAGGAGTAAAATTAAATGGAAGCTGCGTTAGATCTAGAGGAGAAGTGGACTTGAAAGCAAAAGGGTTATTCTCAAGTCTGTTAAAGACATTCAGATAATACCTGGATATCAAATAACTATTAAGGGGAGGAACTGGCCAACAAGGGACCCCCAACATGCGGTCAGATTCCTCCGTGATCATTCAGATTCCAATTTATTAAGATCCGAGATGTCAAGTAAGGTAGCGACAAGTATTCTATGATCAGCAAGGATATCAACCGAGGGAAATGCAGTTTCTCCGGTGCTTGAGTCTCAGCGGTATACCGGACCTTTTGAGCGGTTTGGGTACCGCTGAACGAAAGGACATCTATGTGACAGGTAAGGTGTGTAAAAGTAATGCCACAGTTATGTACACGACACTGGTATTATGGCTCGAGGCACTCTTCACACCTTCACACCGCTGCTCAATTGCCCGGTAAGCGTGGGTGTCAGACAAAACCTTGTTGCATTAGCGCCAGGCAAAGGCCTCGTTTAGTGTTCTCGAACGACATTTCCATTGCCACGTGGATTACGGCTGACTTTCTTCTCTTCCATGTTTTCATCATGCATGTCATATTGGGGGCCATTTTCCGTTCAGTTTGGGCAGTTCTTCTGCTACCCTTTCCAGGGCCAAGTCTGTCCCTGCTAAAATTGGCCCCAACTCTCCTCCATTCTGCACAATCTTAGAGAAAAAGAACCCTGTAAATGTCAAAATATGATGTTACAGCCTGGGTTCTCAGCCCCCCCTCTTTAAAGGTCAGCCACAGAGACGGATTTCATTTCATTACTCTTTTACCCCCTCACTCGACCACATGTTGTCTCCCTGACTCTCTTTCTCTCCTTCATCGGCCCCAGCCATGGACGCTTCAATGTCCATCAACGTGACGCCGGTCGTCTCCGTTGCCCTTGTCGTTGTGTCAACCATAGTTCCAATATTGTCTCTATTGTCGATTATTCTCCGATTTCAAGCACGTCGAATAGGACGGTTAAAACTTGGAGCTGATGACTGGTGGATCTTGGCAGGGTGGGCATGTATTCTCAAGTCCAGTGGAAACAAAACATATAGCTAACGTGGCACAAGCTCCCTACTTTTGGGTTGAGCCTCACTGTTTGGATATTTGGCAGTATCACTGGTATCTCAAAATACAAAATCAGTATAACGACGGGGATCCAGCGATCATTTCAGTGCATTTTCATTTGCAGTGCCATCCTCCAAGTTAGCCTATCTGTCGTGAAGATTTCGATTTTGCTATTCTATAAACGAACATTTTCGATCCCCAAGTCTCAGATCGCTGCATGTATCGCCATTGTTATTGTTGGATGCTGGGGGATCGCCTTCTTCTTCGTAAGTGGTTCCTACGGTCAAGATACGTCTCCCGCACAGACTAACAGACATAATGCAGTTGATTCTCTTAGAAGGCGATCCTATCAGTAGGCCATGGACTGGGAAGGGCCGGTTCAGATTCGATCAAGTTGTAATGGAGTTCGCTCAATCCGCCACCAGTATCGCATTAAATGTCGCCGTTTTGCTGTTTCCCCTCCCCATGCTTTGGTTTCTACCCATGTCTGCCCACAGGGTGTGGGATCTTATTCTCGTCTACGTGTTAGGTGCTCTGTAAGCTCTCGCTCCCTTTCCCGCATTTCTCTATACATGTACTCACCAGGACCTACGTAACTCCCAGTTGTTGCGCTGCTGCTATTGTTCGACTGGTTCTCCTCCATGCCTCTATAGCCAAAGAGCCCACTGACCTATCCGTAGTCCGTAAGTATATCTTTGCCGTCGTACGAGTTGTAGTATTAGATTGGAGCACACATCTCACCCTGACATGCTTCCCTCCAGATATCCACTCCAAGCAGCTTGTCTTCATGATCATTGAGACCAATTGTTCCATTATTGCCGCCTGTTTACCATGCTACGGTGCCCTTCTCCGTGGTGGGCAATCACTTGCATCGATTGTCCGGTCCTTTCTTGCTATCCACGGCCGGGCCAACTCCCCGTCCGATTCCAGTTTTGCTAGCCTTCATAGCGGCAAACACTACCCGATCCACGGAATCAGGGATTTGGACGCCGATACTGGTTCTCAGGTCGAACTCACGGGGCCTACGGAGCGTTGGTCGCGAACGACAACGCAGGTCACGATCAAGGTCAGCGGGAACCCGCATCAGAATGATGAGTGTCGCTCGCCGGGGATTGTGGTTCATACTGAACTCGACATATCTAGCAAAGGAGTTGATGTTTGATGAAGTCTTAGCACTGGATTTCTATATTGGATATCAGCCTCTCACCTCGACCATGGAGGTTATATCATGCTTTATATAAGTATTGAGATGAAAGTTAGCCTATTTGTAATATGATACCCACTAGCTAAGAAGTATATGTCAGACTTGTTATCATTCATTGACTTGATGACTCAGTAATCGTTTCTCCAGTGATTAATTATTGCTCGGAACTAAATATGAATTAGTACCCATGCGTAGCCACTTGTATTCGCATGATACAAATATATTCATTCTCTGTGGCCGCTATGTTGTTTTGCGTATAAATGATAATATCAATTCTTCACCATCTGTCAGGTTGAGCGAAGTTAATTAGATATGGTTCGTGAAAAGGAGTTCAGTATTTTTCATTTCATATTTACGTTAAAGCTTATTCTAATATTGGGTGTTGGATATGAACCTCAATTATTTACGGCCATGTCAGGCGGGCGACGGAAATGTAAATGCTGCAAATTACAAATTGTCCTTACAGTTATAAAGTACAACAAAAGCAATAACTCAAAATGTCCCTATGGTCCAGTTGAATATGGTGCTTGTCTGACGCGAGTCCATCTTTTTGGTTTGGAGTTTCCCTTCTACACACGCGACGAGTAGTGATAGGGCGTCGCTTCTAATTGACGGTCTTCATGAAAGGTATTTTGGGCATCGATGGTTGGTGTCAATATATTTATTGTATCAGATGATTGTCTGGTTTGGCCAGTGAGTAATGGCCATTGTGAAGATTTCGTCGCCATCTATCCGGGAACCCTTCCAAGTCCATTCATAGGGAGCTTTGAATAGCAACGCCCTAGAGAAAGGAAGGAAACCACGGAATGCTCACAATACGGATACAGACTAGACTCAATAGGACTGTAGGGACTCCGTTCTACTAGAATTCGTGTTGCGAAGCGAAGAATCTTCATCCCTGCCAAAGTGAACTGCAACAAAACTGAGTGATGCACGTGTTATATATATACTTCATCGAGGTAGCTAATCAATGCTGTTGCAGCACCAGTTATGTAGCTCACCGCCGGCTCATTGTACTACAGGGCTAGGAACGATGCCATGCAGATTGTTTGAAAAAGGTCAACACTAGGCTTTGTCTCGCCCCCATCAATGATATGTGCATGCCTATAACAAGCCACATCTGCTAGGCTCGATAATCTCTTCCCTGAAAAGACGAGAGCCTATGAAGTCATAACCTCGGTAGAGTTGACATGACCTAAGAAAACAGAGAAGGTCGGTGGACTCACCTTCGGGTACGAAATGATAGTCATTCCTTGGGGTTTACTCATCATACATCATAGGGTTATGGCTATGGAAGTATATAATTGAGCGTTAATGGAAGACAAATGCCGATGAGGTATTAATGGAGATTGCGATCTGCACTGGGGTGATGGAGAAACGGTAAGAGGTGAGTTAAAGGAGGAAATATCCTAAATTTATCTTATTCAAACGAGAATAATCCAAAGTGAGAGAGTGTGCATTCCATGAGGAGATTCATCACGCATTGTTCACGGAGAGAATGCTTGGCGATTGAGGCTGAGCGGGTACCCCTTGGCGTCGATCGTTGCCGCTCAAGCTTAAAGCTCAGGCATCATTTCTGCCTGACTGGCCCCATTGTCAATTACGATGGTCAGCCGTTGTATTTTCAATTCAGGTACGGAGGGGATAGGCTTACTACTACTAGTAGTAGAATTATGATTCTGGACAGAAAGAATGTTACGAGTTATTTTTTTTTTGCCCTTTTTTTTTTTTTTTTTTTTTAACATTCCGACATGTCGGGCAGAATAGTATTTGAAATGTTTTGGTTTCCCCATACTCCGGTACCTGAATAGGGGAGGGTATTTTTTGGCCAGAGGGGATACGGTACGATAACTCTAAAAATAACATAGAAGTAATTTAATCTCCAGCCTCGTGTTGCGCCCACCAATGACGAGGCACGTGTCCCACCTTTTCTCCTCTTCGTCGTCAGTCGGATTCTCCACTTACTGATTGAATCAATCCAACAACAACAACACAAACACTCTGTCCCTTTACTCCAGTCAAACTCGCGGAGAGAGAGACTGTTTCTCTCCCTTTCCTCACTTGTACAACTCACTCTCATTTTCATACCCTTTAACTTCCTCCCTTTTCCTCCTTCCGACCTTCTTTCTTCCCCACTCCCCCCTATTACTTCCTTCTCCATGCCCCTCTTTAAAAAAAAGTCAAAGACTCCTCCGACGACCAACTCTGCTGCATTCCGATCAGTCGAGCATCTCCCATCTTCGGTCGCATTCCCTGGCGATCTTGACCGACGGTTTTCCGTCTCCACCAACGAACCGGTGCCGCCACTTCCACCTCAACATCCTGCGCATTCCAACGTGGTTCATCGCTCGCAGAGTCACCGCCGTCCGAACGCCTTTGCCAACCATTCGGTAGTCCCGCCCACCACTGCTGCGCCTCCGCGCATTGTCGATGCTGACCCTTCCGATCAGTTGTGGCCACACCCACAGCCAGCAGAGAGACCAGAAGAACACGAAAACCCGCGACGGTCCAGAAGAAACCTCTTCTCCTTACACTCGCACTCTTCTTCCTCCCAAGCCCCTCGGGAGTCGACTGGGTTCTTGGAACGTAGTCGTTCCGTAAGGAAAACTTCTCCGGCCCCGCAACGACAGGAGCAACGTCCCCTGTCGGTGGATACGGCCGCTGACCCCCACTCGCCATCAAAATCGAGGGAGCATGTGGTAGATACAACGCCAGACCCATCAAAGTCTCCCGTACTACAGGACCAAGGAATTCCCCACGAACCTCGACCTCGCTCGTCGCAGAACCCCTCTATACAGCGATCGAACACCGATTCATCGCTTCTCGAGCAGATCTACCGCCCATCCCCTGTGGAGCCCAAGCATCCGGGCGAATTAGCTCCGGGCCCGGTCCAACAACAACAACAACCACAACAGCATAATCAATTGGGTCTTCCTCGTCCCTCATCGCGACAGTCCCTAGGACCTCCCTCGCCGTTACCACCTCCACCTGCTTACTCCGACCATTCTGCCTCACAGAGTGCCATGTCAGATCGTCCGCCCAGTGGCCAGCGCGCCCCGACGGCGACCCCACCTCCAGGCGGCCATCCGTCATACCCTCAGGGTAATAACAACCAGGATCCCACAGCGCGCACCAATGCAGCCCAACAATCGGAACCGGGCCGTAGCACGCCCACGTCCACCCGCATTCGCGACGAAGGAGAGGTTGATGTGCGTACTTTAGTGCAGAAACATGACGAACTTCGTATGTCTTTCGGTCCACGAGCAAGATTTTATTCTTCTAAACTGACTTTCTTCTTTAGAGGCGAAGTATTCCAAAGTCAAAAGATATTATTTTGAGAAGGAGGCTCAGGTGCAACAGCTACAGAATACCGTCGCCCATCAGCGCATGGCTGTGTCGCGTACAGTGCTGGACGATAACGAGTATGCCAACCGATTCGGTCGTCTGGACGGCGCCATCAAGGATTTGGCGTTTGCATTCCGAAAAGAGTGGAAAAGTCTTCCCAAGTGGTTGGCGGGTTACGTGAACGACGATGCGCATATCACCGGCACGAAAGAGATGACCGCGATTGGTCGTGCAGTAATTAGTCGGTGGCTTGTGGACGAGTTGTTTGAGCGTTTTTTCCACCCGGCACTGGATCCCACCTTCAGTCGACAGTTGAAGAGCATCGAGATGAACCTGCGCCGGCAGCAGGGCAATACTCTCACCGACGAGGATAAAGAGAACGCGATCGCACGCATTTCCAATTGGCGACGGACGACCTTGGATGGCCTCACAGATGCACTTCAAGGACCAGCTGCCGAAGAACACCGGGGCCAGCTGATTGACCATTTGGTTGATAGTCTGGTTGCCAACCTGGTGTCATATCTAGGTGATCCTCCGCCGCCCGGGCTGGACAACGGCGCACGCATGATTGTGGAGAATGCTGTAGGTATCGCGGACAAGGTCCCCTTGGAGTCGCGCGACGTCTGTATTGAGTACATCCATCCCGGCACCCTCCTACACGAGCCGAACATGAAAGTCGAGACCGGCCTTCCCCCACTCACGAACGTGAGTGCTGAATCCGCCGCGGCGCGAGGGTCCGGCGACCACGAACGCCTTGAAGGACCGCCTGACGAGGCCGACAGAGAGTCGTCCGGGTCAACGAGCCAAGAGGGCACGCCAGGGGGCCCGCATCCCGGACGCGAACCGCGCATGCGGTCCGTAATCAGCAAGGTAATGGGACGGAGACAAAACCAGGGCGCTGCTCCGAGCCCCGGTGGCAATGGGGACATGCGCCCTCCCACGGCTATGGAAGAACGGAACAGCCTGGGAGCGGGACGGATTCGGTTTGCATCCTTCATTACTGCGGAAGTCAGAGGACGAGGTCCGATGAATGTGTTGGTCAAGGCGCCTGTATATTTGATGGACTAATGATGATGTACATGTTTAGAGCTGCAATTATGATTCCTTTACGATTATAGCGCGCAGTCTATCTCAAGCGGTCTTTTTTAAGCCGTGGCTTCAGTTGTTTATTCCTTCAATACACAACTACCAGGTTATACGCTACAGCTCTGGAATTGCTCTGTACATCAATAAATTAGGGGAGAGTGAGTATAGCCTAACGGAAACCTGATCTAAATACGGATATATGGATATATGTACTGTACATAATAAACTGAAACTTCTCAGTGTAGAGTATTGGTTTCATAGAATAGCATGGAAATTGTGAGGACGTTGTGTATGAGAACACGGACACCGGAAAGATGGCTACTGGCTATCCCCGATACGGAGGCTCAGGGTTATTTAGTAAGTTCAATCCATCCTATATAGCCGGTAAGTTATACCGTCGGCTGTCCGCGATCAGTATAGTATAAAGTCGCATTTGAGGAAATCATGTCAAAATATGCGTCAATGGCTTTTTGAATCAATCTAACGGATGCCGAAAGTACTGGGATTGTATCTGATATATGTATATCCTCCCCAAAAGTAGAGCTATGATTACGCTTTGACGGACCTTGTGGGCAAAAGTGGCCATATATACATTTCGGGTACGTGCAACCATTTGCAGAGTTACAAGGAGCTTGAGCGCGCGTGAAATACCGCAATCCCTCCAGCTCCTCGTCTTTGAGATTTAGTCGTGCTGAGCAGCGTAGTTCGGATATTAGTACCTCTCTGTGAAGTAATGTGCATGGCACAGCTTCAGTCCTTGCACCTTTACCCAAGGTGTCAATGAGGAAGCCATCTTTTGTCACGAGATTACGGAATAACCCAAGAGCCAGGCTATTCCAGCTTGTTGAGTGGAGCAGGTCTTGAGATATATCACTACTAGCCTAAAAACAAAAAATAGTGGTAGTTCATGTCGGTTAATAACACCAATCATGTGTGCAAAATACGATGCTAATCAATCCCTTGCAATAGTACCGCGTAGCCCTACTGCCCCACAGATACTGTATAGCCTAAAAAGGGCGGTAAGCGATGGCGAACTCAAGGTCTCTTCATGAAGAGGAAACGAATATTTCGATAAAAGAGTGAAAGTCTAACAGTATTGGAAAGAGGGCGACTTGGCCCTTTCACGCGGGCTGGCTCGTGATACTTCCCATGACCACCTCCTAGTTCAACATCTTGCCACTCATCCTCTGCTCCCTTAGTATCTTACTTCCGAAGAGTGAAATCAAGCTTTCCAGAGCCTTTGAACCCTTCCGCAGTTACCATCTGGAAAACAGGGTTCCCAGGCTTGAGTCCCAGCTCCTGCCAGCGCTTAAAATGAGCAGCAACGTCGACGGTACCGGTATGCCGAGCTTCACGGCGAACAGACCACAACTGGTCAAAGCTCGTAACTCCATAGATCTCAGGGACATTTCTGTAGGGGAGCATGTAGACATCGTAGACGCCACCATCGGTTTCAACCTGGCCAAGAATATGGCCATTGCCCGGTGTCCCAGTTCCGTGAGCTTCAACAACGTACCATTCGGTGACGGGATCCGTGGTCCATCCATAGACCGCCAGAGTGAAATCACCTTCAGCCTGGAACTGACCGTCCCAAGACAGGGAGCTGGAAATTGGGAGTTGCGTTAGTTTTGAATCTGGAAGACTAAGTATTGGTTGACTGAATGCTCACCGAGGACTTCCACCCTTGAAGCCTTTTCCGCCCAGAAACTCACTGTTCGTGTTCCAGCTGACCTTGAACTGCCCGCTGTTTTCGAACTCAGAGTATTCGGCACCTGCGCCGTTGGCGTTGTAGAGGGAGTAGTAAAACCCTGCGGCATCTACTCCATCCTTGCTTGTTTTGAACGTCCCATCGCGCCTTTCAACGTTTGCGTCTCCCGTCGCGTTGGCGATGAGGGCTCCCATGTGTTCGAGAAATTCAGGAGACCTAGCCACAGCTTGAGGTGTGGTGCTATCTGTGGGAGTTGCGAGCACTCCTAAGACAGGAAGGAAGAACAGCAAACGACTGGCTGACACCATGTTGACAAAAAGGCTTATCAGAATGATTCTTAGGAATTGGGAATGTTTCTTTTGAACTGGGAGTCAGGAGCCCTTGAAGGTGCGAATTGTCTGCTTTAAATGTTTTTTTTTGGTTCCAACCTACTGAAACACGAAACTAGATTGAGGGTTCGTCAAACTCCTGTCAGTGAGAAATTAACTACGTAAACTGGACCCTTTCACCTGAGGGATATTCGATTACATGACAGCTCAGTGGCTACATTGAGATGTGAGATCGTTCTACCTGTAGGTCTGACATTCATGGTAAATCCCGTAGGGCCTTCCAGCACTGCAGATCTTACCTGAAGATAGACATATCGTTTACGCTTGCCTATTATGACAAGGAATAATTACATGGTAGGCGATATCCCGCGGTTGAGGTACAATCTTTCCCCACTGTTTCTTGGTGAAACAAGATCTGCGGCTCTAGAATTAGATCAGTAGTCCCTACTCTAAAAACGTAGGGCAACTCCGAAGGCTTACGAGCAGTGTGCACATGCTCCATACTTGGGATTGCAGTTATATGGCCTAGGCTTTACTCTAGTTAACTGTTCTTTTCAAGGGGTACTATTATGGAAATTATTTGCGCGGTTGATACGGGGTTCCCAAACACTAGAGGGGAGCTACTGTAACAAATTGTCTGGCCTTTAAGGGAACAGTATTCCTTAAGAGAGCATTCAGTGTACGTTTATACCCTCCTAATTAAGCAGAAGGAAAGATGAGCTCTTCACCTGAAATACCATACATCAAGGATATACTAGACAATATAGCAAGTTCACTATCTTCTTTGCATTCACACATAATAAGTTTTAAGTAAGATAGGCCTCGTACCACGCATTCACCAAATCCAAGGTAGAGTTATGCAAATTCCACCAGACGTTCACGTCATTTTGACTATTGAGCCTAGCGAATAATCCTCGTTTCAGAGCTTCATAATACTCATTCTACGAATATTTATTTCTATACTTGTCCATAAGCTCACTGGTTTCAGGGATCTAGAGCCCTCGTTTACATCTAGAAATAATATCTATAGTGATAGGAGAAAGGGAAACCAGAGCAAGGCATCTTCTGCAAACATTCTGTACACAAGGGTATCTAGATTTATTAAAGTCAGGCTGACAGTGGCCATATTCTACACTTTGTTCGGATTTACACTAAAGTGTTACCTAGGGCTATCACTCAATTCGGTAATACCGAGGCATACCGCACATGGATGCTTATTTTTTTCTTTTTCTTTCAGCCTTCAATGCTTCATAAACCCGCTAGCCAGGTGTCAAAATTGCGAGAGGACTACATATGATATTTCACCATTGATCATGTGGACTTATAAGTATAACACTTTGTTAATTGAATATACTGTCTTGTTTCATTCTGTCGTAATACGAATTGCGTTATGGTCCCAATGGCTTACCGTACTCGTGCTCGGGACAATTTCCGCCTTTTCCAGAAGCAATCTTCTTCGCATCAACTCCCGATCAACTCAATGTAAACCTTAGGGAAATCCAAATTTAAAATATGTTCCGCTGTGCGCAGTGTGACAAATCATACCAGCGAAAAGCGCATTTACTTCGCCATGAGTTGACGCGTACGTTCAGGGAGGTATTCATCGTGCGGTGTAGCCAATTGACCATCTACTAGATTCCGGCCAGGCCGCTTCCACGTGCCCCTTTTGCAACAAATCTTTCTTGAAACCGTAAAGGCAACCATTCCTACAGGTCTTAAACTGGTTTTAACCCTTTGTCCCTACAGAGAGGTCACCCGGCGACACAGCAAAGCATGTGCAATCAAATACAACCAACAGCCTGCCCCGGCAGCCAAGCCCGGGCGGAAAAGGCAGTCCTGCGAACAATGTTTCGCCACGAAAAGGGCGTGTGATAAAGGCTCACCGTGCTCTCGTTGTCGCTCGCTCGGACAGCAATGCACGTTTAAGTCGCAGCAAGGCCTTTCAATAGGAAGTCCCTGCTCCACTGACGTCTCACCATCGCCATCAGTGCAACCGTCTACTCCACCAAAGGAGGAATCGCAGTTTTCGTTCCTTCGGCATTTCACTGACCCCTGTGTGGAAAGAGACAGACTCGCAATCGGAACAACAGCAGAATGTTCTGTCCGGAGAAATCTCGAAAGCCTCTACTCCCACCTCGAGGATGCGCTAGTACCGTCCGATCCTATGGCGGCTAATTTTGGTGATATCCCAGGCGCCGAATTGTTCTTCCGTCCTCCATTAATTCCGGATGAATATTTCCCTACTGATCTTCTAAGCTATGGCCCTACAAAGCTCTCCGAGCAGCTGCACGAACTAATGATGGAACTGATTGAGACCTCCAAATCAATGAGACTTGATGACACGGAAGATCCACAGCTGCAACTCGATATTACACAGTTGGCTCCACTATTTACAGTATCTAATGTTGCGATTTTTATCTCGGTCTTTTTCCATTCTCTTTATTGGCATCTGCCGGTCGTGCACTTTCCTACCTTCGACCCGGGCAACATTTCCAGCCCACTACTGCTCTCAATCTTCTTAACCGGTGCAACATATAGTAGCTCGTTGGATGAAGCTGCATTATTACCAAGGGTTTTAGACGTGGCCGAAGAGCATGTATTCCGGAAGATCACAACCCTATCAACTCAGGTTGCTCCACCCACTCACGACCTTACACGTCAAATACCTACCATCCAGCTCCTGCAAGCTGCCCTAATCATTGAAATGCTCCAATTTGGCCAAGAACGTGTTGAAACAAGACGCCGCATTCGTATCATCCGCCATCCAAGTCTGGTATCTCTTATGCGTTGCTTGGGGATCTTCCAGCTCAAGCGGTCCGCACCTCCCACGGTCTGCACTGGGGACGATACTGCGTGGAGAGCATTAGTGACAGAGGAAGTCTGTATACGACTTGCGTCCTGGACCTTCCTCGCAGACGGTTTCCTTACGGTATGCTTCAAAAACC